AAGAGGGAAGCCAGCTGGTTTCAATGTGATTGCAGACCCCAGGGAGGAAATCAGACATAAGGGCAAGAACGGTCCAGTGATCTAGCTGTACAAAGAATGGGAGGATAGGGGTAGCCGAGGCCAGAGAACATGAGTCCCAAAACTGGTGGTGAATAAGTAACTAAAATAATGGATTTGTAGGGTGATTTCCCATTGGACTTTAGTGGGAGTTGTTGGATCAGGCCTTAAAAACAGCCAACATGGGACTCTGCCTGGTCTTTGCCGGGAGAGAGCTCCCCAGCCCATTCCAAGCAAAGGCTGGTGTTTGACCCCCATGAGATGCAACAGCACCTTATCCCCCAATGGCTGGTCTCTCCACTCAACCTCACACCTGGAAAGGGCCCAGGGGCTGTAGGCTGGCCAGATAGCAAGTGTAAAAAATCGGGATGGGGGTGGGGGTAATAGGAGCCTTATAAGAAACAGCCCCAAATATCAGGACTGTCCCTATAAAATCAGGACATTTGGTCACCCTAAGGGGCTGTAGCTTACTTAAAGGTTCCTGCGGGGCTGGGAGGCTGGCATGGTTCTGTTTCATGAGATGGTGCTGAACAAGCCCATGGCTTGAAAGCAGGTGCAGCTGAAGTTTCCTTCTGGTCATATACTACGAGCATCTCTTTCCCAGGACCTATTTATTTGTCTATCATTGGATAGGGCAGATTTCTCCATAGGCATTCCGACCCAGTTCCTCAAAGGTATTTAGGCTCCTAACTTCCATTGATTTCAGTGCAAGTAACAGCCCAAACACCTTTGAGGAACTGGGACAGATACTACAGTGATGAGGGGCCTTGCAGTAGAAAGATAGATAAAGAGATTCCTCACATCTATGCAAGTGGCGATCTAGGAATAGATTACATTATTATTCTATATCAAGCCTGCCAGTCCAGATCGCATATCTAACCTAAGATCTTGCTGGAACTGTCAGAGGAAATAATGTGGCAATGAATATTGTTCTGATCAAGTCTATGGTAGGCACATCATTTCCTTAAAGTGAGGTTCCCCCTGATGCCATCAGCCTGAAAGGAAACAAGTGTAGCTGATTTCAGTTCCCAACCTCAGTGATCAGCCCTCATCGCTCTATGTGCGGTGTCTTTGTGGTGAGCATTTTAACCCGTGAAGTGCATCAGACCTCTGGCAATATGCCAGCTGTCATCAGACCTTGCTGCTCTGTAGTTAGCCGCTGCTCTGCAGAAGAATCTCTCTCTGCCTGTTTGCACAAAGCCGGTGAATGATGTGAAAGCAGGCCAGAGAGAGTCTGGAAACTTTGGGATGACTGTGTTACCTGAGGACTTCCCTGAGCCTCTCTCTGGAGTGATGACGTGCTGTCATCGAACAACCCGACCAATACCTGAGCCACAGATTCTGAAAAACAGCTGCTGGTACGTAACCTTAACAGCTATATAGGGGCCCTATTCTGCAAACCGTGCTCCCATGAGCCATCCCTGCTCACACACGTAGGAATACGCCTGTGAGTACACTTGGAGGACCCACCCCTGTTTCTGTGCCACTCCCTTTCTGTAGTGTTTCTAGATCAGAGATGACATTACCCATACTGCGAGGCATCTTCCTGCAGATCTCATTTTACCGGCTGCTGCTGGTACAGGTTGGGTGCAGGTAGCACCGGGAGGAAGAATTTCCTGTGAATTGAGGACTTGGGTAAGGGCCCAGTTCAGCCAACTATTTATTCAGGTACCTAACTGTAAACATCTGCATAGTTCCACTGACTTCATATGCTTGAAGTTAAGCATCTGCTTAAATACCTTGCTAGATTGGGGCCTATCACTCCCTCCGTCTTGCATTTAGGAATGTCCCAAGTGCTCCTCACCCATTCCCTAAGTGCCCCTTTTCTTCTGCCCTGGTAAACTCTAATCTGCAGGGGAGGCTTCTTCAGCCCCCAAGTAACATCTGTTTGGAATACAGGTGTATTGAGTTTTGGGGCATCCTGCGCTGTGATTGGTGGGAAAGGTTCATGTTTCTATAATGGAGCTGGAAAAAGCCTGAAATCATTCCTGCGTCAATGACCATCTTAACACTATAGAGAAAGAAATGCCTTCAGGCTCAGGAAGATCTTGCAATGTGCTTAGGGGGAGTAGCTAGATTTCAATCCTATTTTACATTCCCCCTCACCCCCATCTCCATGCCAAAAAAAACCCCACTGGAACATGGAATTGCTGCCTTCAGTGAACTGAATATAACAGAGCCACAATTAGAACTCAATAGCCATTGAACAGCTGGAGTTTTGCATTTTAATTTCTACGTTCTTTGATTTGGGTAAATATTTAAGTCTCGTTTGAGGGGGAGGGAAGGGGGGGAAGTTTACAGTAGATTTATGCTTTTTGGCTTAGCAGAATTTGAAGCTACTTTTATTTGACATCTGCTTCAAAGCAAATCGGTTTATTTAGAATTCATTTATTACAATTCATTAAGCACTTACATAGACTTTTACCCGTGTGCTAAACTCTGTTTGCATTGGGTTTTAGACTATTGCATAATTAATGCAATGTACACCCAGGATAAAAAGCCTGACACTTGAAGAAATTCCAATTGCTGGACAGGCTTCCTAGTATATAATGGTCAGGGCTTCCTACAGAATATACAGCATAGCCCACCTTAAACCACTGCTCCGGGGACCAGCAAAAATCAGTGGCTTACTTGTTTTCTAAAAAAGGTAGAGTAGGAATATGTATTTGAGCGTAGTTAAGGATGGTCTCTGAAAACAGAAGGTGGCCTGAAAAAAGTTGATAATCCATTCACTGTCCTTTGCCTTCTTTTTCTACTTACACTGGTAGAAATAAAAGTTCATGCACGACCGCCTTGTGTCCATCTTCTCCCAAAGAGCTCCAATGGGAATCACGAGGCCTAAGATCTAGCTCTCCCTAGATTTGCTCTGATCTTGGGCAAATGACTGAATCTCTGCGTGTCCTCCTCTTTCAATAGAGTGCAAAGCAGAGGAAGCAGCTAAGGTTTACTATCTATGGATGAGGAGTATGCTATAAATGCTAAGCAGCATTGTTTTTCTGCGTGGGGGTAGGAAATACAGACAAAGGCAGGAAGGGCGGATGTTCACAGAAATCAAAAGGTCCAAAGTGCCAATATGTCCCTCAATTCAATTCCTTCCCAATCCCAAAGCTGGGCATCACCTACCCCCCTGTGTTGTCAACATAACTCACCCTTGTTACACACCAAACTCCATCTCAGCAGTGGGTGAACGAGGATTCCCGAGGACAGGGGGCTGGTCTTCCCCGTGCACATGGCACTTTGCTCAATTGCTCATACTCATGCTCGTACACGGGCTCAGCTCCTCTGTTGCCGCCTCTTTCCTGGGGCTGTGAGCTGCCTGTTTATTCCTTGCCCTCCGTTGTAAATTTTGCTCTGGCCAACGTTTGTCCATTTTAAGTTTCCCAGGTAGTCCCATGTTTTCCTGTCCTGTTTTCAGGTGGTGATGTACAATGCTCGGGAGTCACGGTTGATGTCTGATGGAAACATCAAGAGGTGTTGGGTACCCCTGGCACTTGTGGGTGTCCCGGGCCCGGATGGTACACCTCTAGGGCAGTGGGCCAGCCTAGAGGAACCCGTACATGCTGTACTCGGGTTCTAAGGAGGGTCACTGCTTCACGTTCTTGAACACCCTTGTACAGAGTAACACGGGTGATTCTCTTGCTGCTGTTCTCTAAGAGTATTAAACCCTTTAACCCCACTCAGCTCAGGTGTCCGTTTTGGGAGGAGCCTGGGAGCAATGTTTAATCAGGTTTCTCATTTTACCCGAACTCAGGCTGTGGCTGACGTGATTAAGACAACTTCAAGAAGGCAAAAGCCTGAGGAGGTTTCAGCGCCTGGAGAAAGGCCATTGATTTATTTCTGCAGCAGGAGGAACCTGTACAATGAGAAGAGAGCTCATAACCTGCACAGTCTTTTCTTCTCGAGCTGGATGGGAGGCAATATTAAGTTGTAAGCCTGTTCCGGGGTAGATTTATAGAGGTAGAATAACCTGTAGAAGAAGGGTTAGGCATATGCTTTATATATTTTTAAAGTGCAGCATGGATTTAGACAGGCTGCCTAAGGCTGTGAGCACCTCCTGTTTTATAAGCTAAGCAGATGCGAACCTGCTCAATCCTTTTATTACCGTGGC